ACTCTGCCGGGATTTCTTGCGTGTTTTTGGCGGGAATATTTGACGTGCCCGCAACAATTATTACTACCGAGTCCTCGGTAGCTCTGCTGTTAGAGCAGCGGACCGGTAATCCGCATGTCCGAGGTTTGATTCCCCGTCGAGGTAGGTTATTGTGCAAAGTTTTAATCGTGGTTTCTACTTCCTAAAAAATTAGTAATATTAGTATAACATGAATCGGGACCACTAGACGGACTGCACTTATGGGAAACTGGTCATAGGTAGCCGATTAAGCTAAATGAATCCTGCTCTTTTGCTTTAGTCCGAGTCCGTCTGGATGCTCGGCGTATCGTTTCACTTTTCTCCTGCATACACATTCTGTCTCATCGCTGCTAATACTCGTTTACGCTAGTCCACATCCCCATTTCCAGTGAGCATCTCACAGTCTGAATTATTTTATCAGTCTGCTCTCGTGATGTTCCACTTATCATAGGCAACTTCTCATTTCCATTGGTTTTCCGTTCATCTACTGTGTAAATTTCGCTTGACGTAGCCTATAAATCGGCCTTTACCATTTTCACTGAACATCGTTTTTACAATATCGCTATGGAGACATTAGTTTTCTCGGAATATTTCAACACTGACCTTTGTCAAACTATCTACAAAGTCATCACTGCTGTCTTTCGCTTGCTTTTTGAGAAAAAACTCCAGATACTGCGCATATGGAGATGGACCGTCCCGATTGGAAATCCAACTTGTAATGCTGGCCTGTCAACCGAATGCGCTTTCAGATTACTCTGTCTGGAAGTGTTTAATTGTTGCTCGTTTATACTGACCGTTTATTCAAGTGACACCTGTACACAGTGTCCTTTTTCCATTCGTACTGGTTTACAGTACTGATAATGTATTTTTAGCCTAGCCATAGTCGATATTGTAGTGTTAAAAGTGTACCCATCTGGCTACATAAAGCTTATTTTGTCCTGACTTGACTTGACTAAAGAGAAGTCAGCTAGTCCTTTTTGAATGAATTTGTTAAACCTAGCCCCCACTTTTTCGCTTCTTCCGCTCCGGCTGTTCTGAATCAGCGTCTCAAGTGAGTGTCACCGCACCGCTTTGCGGAACATCTTGTCAACAGGTGTATTGTTAGTGAATACATACGTCCAATAAAGTGAATCATTACTTCACGTGCCACATTTTCTATTCGCATAAATATGCTTTCTTTTCCACTCTATTTGTTAACGAAAGGTTTCGTAATGATTCGTATGGGACAGTTCACCGAATGAATCTGTACTTTGCTTCACAGATGTCACCGGTGCGGAGGAACCGGATGAAGAGGAGTCACAGTTATGTGAACTGGCACGGGTGGAACGAGAGCGGGGTATGGCTCATCGTCAGTCCTTGGAACAAAAGGTCAGTACAACTTCATTTGTGTCACTTCATCATTGAGTAGTGAACTCTTTTTGCAAATCTCTCACTGGTTAGATATATGTCACTTTGACGCGCATCTTTTAGTTACTTCGCATTTGCTTGCTTCAGCCGCGCCAGTACGAAACCTATTTAAATGAAAGTTCAATTGGCGAAACGATCACTTTCCAGTAATTCTCCGCCGGCCATTACCATTAGGAGAAAGAAACAAGCAACGCAGTGTGTTAATGAAACCTAGCTTGTGAACTGCTGTTGTTCGAACGAGATCGATAATTAGGCTGATCCACTTTACGTAGGCTTCGCAGCCGATGTTACGCTGCTAATGTCCACTATGGAGGAACAGCCGCGGGGCCAAGGCAACAAGAGGGCTTACACTAGTGCTTTCTGCTTGCACAAATCAGGCTGGATCAGCACAATAGCGATCGCCTCAGCCGTTTTTAATAGGCGCTTTCTGAGCGCTTTAGGGTGACGTAGCGGCACGGAGTAGAAAACGCTGAACGCGTCTGCTATCCGGATTTCGTGTTCATTCAGGAGTAAATGCTGCATGATAGCGCTATTGATGATTCTAGGCAAGCCTCTTCGTAACGACTCAGGCCAGTGTTCTGCTACCTGTTTTGACAAACACCCGGTCGTGTGTCCAATATATCTTGCACAACAGATGCAAGTAATAAATTGATACAGTATGTATGATTTGGACTGGACCGGGAGTCTATCCTTCAGATGTTTTGTTACAAATGGAGCAGTCTGCGCGAACACACGCGCGTTGGCGGCTGAGTAGGCTTTAGCCATTGCGCTTGAGAGTCTTCTCTTCAATAAGTCAAAAGCGGAATCCCCTTTAAATGGAACTGAGAGAAATACGTCTTTTTTGTATCTTCATCGTGGTTTCCAGACGCAACCGGATCGTTGCGTGTTTTTTGCTAAACGGAATGGGATATCCGTTCTCTTGCAACGTTCTGAAGATGCGATCTTTCTCTGCATCAAGCGTCTCCAGGCTACAGATTCGGGCAGCACGATAGTGCAAGCAACGAACTAGGTTCCGTTTGTGTTGCAATGATACAAAGCTTCAAAATGGGTGTATTGGCCGACCCATGTAGGTTTCCGGAAAACGCTTCCCTCTAGAGAGCCGTCAATCCGTCGTTCTAGCAAAACATCCAAAAATGCCTATTTTCCTACGCTCTCGTTCTCACTGGTGAAATGCAATGATGGATGTGCACTGTTGAATTGAGCTAGCAGAGAGGAAACGTCCAATGTTGAATCACAAATAATACATGTGTCATCCGTGTAGCTGAGGTAGGAATCAAACCTTGAGATGATCGGCTGCAAGGGTCCACGTTCTAGTTTCGTCAGGAAAACGTCAGCTAGAAGCAGTCCTAGGGGGACCCCATCGCTACACCATCAATATATCCGTAATAAATTCCATCAAATAGGAACTGTCTATTGACAATGCATCGTTGAATCAATTCCTTTATGGTGCCTGATGAAATATTGAGGTCTAAGTCATTCGCGACAATGTATTCGCAAAGAAAATTGACGGTCTCTAGCAACGGAACGTTTGTGAAGAGCGATTCTGCGTCGGATGAAATCATGGGTTTGCCATCGACGTATAATGTTCCACATGTTCAACAAATTCAAACGTGTCTTTTAACGATTGAGTGCAAATTTGTTTCCGTACTTGCTCCAACGCTTCTACGAGCCACTTTACGAAAAAATGGAAGGCGATGGAGGACATGTCAATTATCGGTCGTAGAGAGGTACCTGGGGCTTGTGCACCTTTGGAAGTCCATGTGGCCTGGACGGATGTGAACCCACAAGAGTTAGCAGATCAAGCACAGAGTCGTTTAACAAAATCGTTTTTCTTAATTGCTTCAACAACTTGATGATCTTGATCTCATCCTGCGCGGTTTTATCATTTTGAACTGTCTTGCGCGCAAACTTGCTCATGTCTTGTAACATGGCTAGAACCTTGGAGATGTAGTAAGACTTATTCATTAGCACCCAACCAGAACCTTTGTGTGGTCTAGGAAGTATCACATCAGGATTCGCTCTCAATTCTCTAATGGCGTTCCTGTGTTTCTTCGATAGGATATTCGATGACTTCGAATCATAAACAAACTATTGTTTTGCGAGGTGCACCAATGTGGCTTTGAAAGTATCACTAGCAAGAGAGGACGTGGACGTCAGGTCTGTTAGTTGATGCATTAGATGTTCGAACTGGGTGTCGATATGAACTTGCCCACTAGCTGGTTCCGAAGAGCAAAATTTCGGTCTCACTGACAAAGCCTCTAACTCTAGTTGATTGAGCTGCAGGCTGGACAGGTTGTGGACACATACCTTTCTGGATTCTGCGGAAATTTAGACTCCGGTCGCCTAATTATCGATCCATTTTACCGGTATCGTTCAAACAGCAGCAATCCTCTTTCTAGCTTGCTTGTTTCTTTCTCATAATTGTAATGGTCTGATGAGAATTATTGAAAAGTGGTCCCTTCGCCAATTAGACTCTTATTCAAACATGGGCATAGTTCATGAGTTGAAAGCTGTTTATTCTTCGAAACCTTCTTTTTGATGATAACAGCCGATAGCCCTGCGTAATGCAGTTGATGGTGTATTTAGCACAACATGTCTAACTGTTTCTGGTCCTTACTCGGTCTATCAAGATGTCTGATACGGCGGGTCCAACCAGACAGAATAAGCAGAGGTCTTCCGTCAATGTGTTCGCTGTCAAATAACACTTGAGTTGGGCATTATACCTCTCGCCTCCACAGGCACCTTGATCTGGAATGTCAGTCTGCTAGAATCACAATACTTCACCGGCCTGGGGCTGGAAATTGCCATTCTCTACTCTTCAGCATACTGCTTTGGCACGAGGTTGGAGACTTTGAGGGCTTCCGTGACTCACATTCGAAGCCTGCTTCGGACCATACGTTCCACGGGAGAACGGTTGGTTGGACTGACTATACCTTTATTTAGGACTGCTGAACAGTGTTCCGCCATCTTTTTCGACGAACACCAGCTGTACCGAACGTTTTGTCTACCCGGGCATGTCGCCGTTACCATCTCTACCTTGCTTTGCGTTTCCCGGCCCAATACCTCCGGTTGAAGTGGCACAACCACACTCAAATGATCCCCATCTTTTCCCGTCCGTTTTTTGATATACTATCTCACTCCACATGCCCTCGTTCATGTCTGGACCTCGTACTACGCAATTTCGAGCTTTATGATTGCTCCTCCTTGGTCAGTTTACCCAGCTGCGATGTTAACGGATTAGATCTGTACGTTCTTTCGGAGCTTTCGTACCGGTTTTAATGGGTCTGATTTAGGTACACCGCCTTGTTTCCTTTTTAAAACACGGTTTACTATGATCCGTTGTGCGCATGCATTAGCTATCAAACGATTGAGACGGCGTGCTGTTATACATTCGGTCCTCGCTCTGCGTGAAACTGGTACACACCTACTGTAGCGAAGATGGCTTGTGTAGACAGCTATGATGCTCGATCCGCCTGAGACAGGGTGAACTGTTAGTAGGTGCGGCTTATCTCAGCCCGCGAAGTCGATGGCTAGATTTGTTGCCGCATGCCAGAAACTACATGAGTCGGCCCCGCTTCCTGCTTATGGGTGGCCTGAGGTACAACTTCTCCCCGGGCACTGTGAAGTCGAGGCGCAGTTTGCAGAGATGGTATTTGAAACTGGGACAGCACACCATGTCTTCCAACCGATGCGCGTTACACCACATTCCGGTCCATCGTGCCTGGACCTACTACTAACGAGTTGCGAGCAACGTGCACATGAAATTCACTTCCTGGAGCCTCTGGCAGCTAGTGACCACTCGATGGTGTCAGCCAGACTAGAACTGCTGCTGCCCTACTCGCGTCCGCTTGAGCGGTCCTACAATTATTGGAAGACCGACTTCAATGGTCTAAATCAAGCCACCAGTAAAGTAGACTGGTCGCTGCCGCAGGATTCATCATTTGGTCTGTTATAAAAGGGGGTGTGAAATCATTGTGCGCTCGTTTCGTACCCCTCAGGTATCAGAAAGCTGGACCAGTGAAGCCACATTGGTTCCACAGAGAGTATAGTCAATTGGCTCAACGGCGACGCGGATTGTGGAATAAATTCCTCGTGTCTGGCTTTGCCGACGATTATGAGGCTTACAAAAGAGAGCGGAAGCTATGTAACAGCTCAAAAGCGAGAAATCTTCGGTAGCTCAAAGAGGAGCTTGCAAACTCAGCGAAGACGGCCCCCAAGAAGATGTTTGCTTACGTGAAGCGGCGCCTGTGACCTACAAGTGATGTAGCTGGGTTGGAGGGCACTGACGGAAAGCCTTTGACCTCCAGCATTGGCGGCGCACTTCGCTTCCGTATATACAAGTGGGCATGCGCCTATGCCGAGCTCGACGTGTGCAGCCCCTCCTGAACTCGAGGGTCTTGATTGCGGTGTAGAAGATGTCCGCAGTCTACTCGCCAGTCTTGATGGCACAAAACCTGCCAGACTCGATGGACTTCACTCTTATCGGCCATCATCTCGCCTGCCGTGACGGATCTGTTCAACAGATCGCGCTGTACGAGTGTGCATTGCCGAGAAACTGAAATGCTCGGTAGTGAAGCCTATTCCAGTAAGCAGTGATCCAGCAACTTGGACATTTAACGGCAGATTTGTCCCACCTATGTTTTGGCGAACTTGCCCGAGAAGATTGTGAACAAGGGTCTTCTCCAGCTGCTGGAGTCGAAAGATCTAACGCTGGCACAGCACGGCTTCAAGAAGGGCAGCTGCTGCATCACCAACCTGCTGTTCACGCGGCAGGAATGGTTGCAAGCGTTGATTCGTGGGAATTACGTTGATGTTAGCTACATTGGTTTCAGTAAATTTTTCGATACGGTGAACCATGAGGACTTACTCTACAAGCTCAGGATGTGTGATGTTAGTGGCGCACTGCACCAGTGGACCAGTGACTTCCTTATTGGGAGTAAATGCCGCGTTCAGGTGGATGACCCGTCCACTAGCAGCGTACCCCAAGGCACAGTATTAGGGTCGATAATATTCCTGATCCCCATCAACGAAGCACCTTAACTTCTTCGGTCGCCCTGCGTATTATTTGCGCATGACCTGAAGATTTGGATGATTATTGATTCTCCCGGCAACTGTGACGTCCTGCAGCAGGACCTCGACCGCCTAGCCCGGTAAACTGCAGAAGTTGACCTACCGGTCAACACGGCCAACTCTTCGTGTATGAGCCTGGGGAAGAGTAGTAATGGGTTTGCGTACATCCTGAACGGCCACTCACTGCATCCCACCAATTCCGTGAAGGATCTAAGCCTACTCTCACGCGGTGATCAGAAGCCCATCGATAACACAAACAGACCGTACGCAAACGGACTGCCTGCTTTGGGCACTAGGCGCAGCTTCTGCACTTGTTCTGAAGAGATTGCCACCCATCTGTTCTCTTCCATAATAAGACCGTTGTTTGAGTACGGCTCACCCGCCTATTACCCGATCACAATAGGTGAGGTGCAGAGACTGGAACGGGTCCAGCATGTAGCTACCCGGCTCATCCCCAGTTTATGGGGTGTCGTATGAGGACGGATGTAGGAGACTAGGCCTTTATACCCTGTCATATCGTCGGCTTCGTGTTGATCTCCTTCTGTCGCACCGGATACTGCACCTGGGCCACTTCCCTATGTTGAAGCAGCTGGTGCACGTTCTCGCACCAAGCAGCACACGCGGACACCGATACAAACTAGTGGTACCCGATGTAAAGCACATCGCTTACGCCCTATGCTTCGAGCGTCGAGTAGTGAAATATTGGAACAAATTGCCGGAGACGCTAGTCGAGGCGCAATCGGTGTCGGAATTTAAGAGATTCATTGACGCCCACTTTGCGGACTACATGTATAGGGAGTGTATTACACCCGGATAAGATGTAGTGTAGCTATACTATGCTTCCACCGTGGAGGGATCAGCGACGTGATTCCCCGCATGTACCCGATCCACCTAGGATGGAGCACCACAATTTTTTTATTTTTTTGCTCTATATTCTTAGTGTTTAGCAATAATACCCGGAACGCGATCTCCGGGTTCACATATCGTCGAGTTACCAGGAGATGGTTGGGGATAGATGATGCTGGGCTCCGGTTCATCCTTGTATCCACTCCGTTTTGTTGCGTCCTCAGTGGTACCTACCACCTCTGCACATGTTCATTTATCCTCTGAGCTAACTGACGGTCAGTCCTGTTTAAGTAATTGTCACCGCAACTGATAAACGACGTGAGAGGCCGAACTGCCTGATGTGTTGCTCTGACGGTCATGAAGAACACGGCTTCGTGTGGTATGTATGAGTCGCAACTGGGTGGTCGCGTAGGTGCGCGTAAGGGCAGATGGAGCTTATGTCCGATATCATTTGCTACGTGGTCTCCTTTGAACAGGAAGAACAAATAAACCTTCTTCTCTGCAGTTAGCACCGGTATTTTCTTCTTAGGAGACCTGTTGTATATCTGCATGAACTTCTCAGGATATCCATTTGACACCAAGGTTCTGTACAGAAATTCTTCTTCAACTTACAACATTTCGGGGCTGTATATCCGTCTGACACTGTAGAGGAGCATTTGCCCTAGGCCACGTTTGTATGCGATCGTGCCAATTTTTCCATATATATAACTATAGGTATTCCGCTTGTATTGCGTTTGCGATTGATGAGAACAATCGAAATGTTGAAATATTGCAACTTATGTCTTCTCACTGCTTTGACGAAATGTCTGAAAGGGACCCACTGTTTTACTGTTATCCGTCTGTTTGTCTCATATGTTTTGTCCATTTCACATGGCTCCACTTTTCTTCATAACGGCAGTTATTCTTATTTTCGTGTATCCCTCTTCCGCCGCATGAACACTATTCACCGTTGGGATACCACCGTCTAACCCTGACATTCGTTATGTATGTCAGCCCAACAAACTATCATTTGAAGCTGTTTCATATTTGTTAGCATTATGCCTCTGTATTCCTACTAATTTCCCGGAGGTTTCGAACCCAGATCCCGTTGTAGTATTGAGATAAGCGATGTATTTTGAGTCCTCCCCACTGCGACGCGTCTCTTCGTTCGCCCACGGCGCCGGGCAACACACGTATGCTTGTCTCCTACTCTTGACTCTTCAATCAATCGTTCTCATTTCGCTTGTATTAAAGGAGTTGATCCACTACCTACATGTGTCCACTGAATGTGACCAATGGTGTTTTTCTATTTCTGCACGTTGTCATCAATCAACATATCCCTTCAACGTGTTGTAGAACGCAGCGGAACGATTATGCGAATTCCTTGTCGAACTGCACCAATGCTTGATTTTACTTCCTGTTCAACATCACTTGTATGTCACAAACCTAAACTATTTCTCTACTAAGGCTAAAGGATATATTGCATCTTTTCAGTATAAAACAGCGACTTACTTTATCTGTCGTAGATTGTCGACACTAATGGAGACTGTTTGGGCAGTTCGACCCTCGGCCACACAACATAGCTGGTTGAAACCCCAACCTCGAGTGTGTTATTGGTAGAAAAATCTCCAGACTTCTGCTATCTTCATTCTTACGTTACTAAAACACTAGAATAAAAAATGACTTGATGATCCACTGCTCCGCCTTCATCACATGATTTGACCGGCATGTGTGATACCACAAGAATACTTAACCAAACCTTATGATTGGTTCATCGGCACCTTTATCTTTTAGTTTTACTCTTGTTTTTTTTTACCCCCACCACACCCATTTTCCTTTGTCTCATGATCTCCACCAACGTTTGTGTTTCCACTTGTTGGAACGCTTGTGTCGGTCACTCCGATCCTATGCAGGCCCTAGATTCGAGGTAGCTTGTTTTTTTAACCTTCATGCGACGTACGAATCTCCATTCATTTTCAGTTGCTTCAACTTATCGCACCTATCGACTCTTCGTTTTACCTTCCTGGTGCGCGTTTGGAACTGATCTCCGGCGCTGGTGGTCTCGAGGCCGGATTGTTTGCTCGCGAGCTGCTAGACATGTATCGCAACCTGGCGTTCAACCGTGGATGGCAGTTCACCGTGGTCCACGAGACAAACATGACCGGGGAGGAGTCCTGTGGACCAAATCACGAAGCTCCTTTGGCTGTCGCCAGAGTGGAAATTGTCGGCGAGCCGTCATCAGCCGCCATACAAGATTGTCGCTCTCTCGGGGCTTATGGGCAACTGCGTTGGGAGGCTGGCGTACATCGTGTGCAGCGAATTCCTGTGACGAGCAAACATCACAAAATACACACGAGCACAGTTGCGGTGTCCGTACTCCCCTTGGACGATGAAGTACGTTGCTGGGTTCTGTTTCTAGACACTGCGAACCATTGTGGAAGTTTCATTTTTTAAAAATCTCCATTTGATTGGTTCCTGCGGCTTTCGCTTAACGTCGTGAGGAGGTTTTTCTTGCACTCACACACCAGTCCGCACGCACAGTTTGATAGATTCTGATTTTTATCCTGCATCCTCATGCACTTCTCCGTAATAAGGACTGACTGGTTGCCTATACGATGAACGCTTGTGCGGACAGCAGTTGATTCAAGGCAGATCAACGTTGGCATTATGCGCCCGAAGAGATACATCTTCGGGATTTACACTATCGTAACATATAAATAAATAACTAAATAAAATTTTATTCTCGACTGTTTTGAGGCACGCCATATCAGGTATAATCAAAATTGTACAAGCAACGAGTTTTCGCGAAGTTCAGAATAGATAACATTCAAAAACGTAAAAATGTAAGGTGTACTTGTGCGAAGCCACAAGGTTAGTACTGTGTTGATACTGAGGGATCGTATATGTTTCCCGAGGGTATGTAAAAACGTGAGAGTACGCATGCGGATTAGTAGTATATTGAGTAGGGTGACTTACCATTGTGCTGCAAAAGATGGTGACTTTATTTGGTGGCGAGTTACATCCGCCACGTAGCAGTGTTGTTAAGCAGACATTTGTGGCTTTTTATAGGGAGAACGCTTGCCAGGCGAAAACCCACTACGTCCTGGAACATTGCCGTGAAACTTTACATCAAGGAAACTATAGAGGTGCGACGTCTATGCAATTGTCACCCCAATTGCCTGTCACGCAGCATGATTGTGACTTTCTCTGGGTCGACAAGTAGACTCAATAGATAAGGTATGACGGTGTTACGTTGCGGCATCATACAAGGAAATTAAACGTAAATTTTCTACCCGTGGATAAAAAAATAACGTTTTGAAATGTCATTGCGCACAGAAAGAGATCGGTCCTTCAGGATCTTGGGGTAAACATAAATGCAGGCACCAAGCTGCATGGAAGCTACCGGCTTTAGATAGACTTCCGCATCTAGAAAGGTACGTTATCGAGCGCACCAACAAGATGTACTCCTTCTGAAATTGTTCAGGGAAGATTACTGGTGAGCAGTGTAACCAATGAAGTATAATCTATATATTCACAAATCTAACTTCGGGCTACTGAAATTATGTTAATTGTGAGAACATATAATGATGATATTCTTACTTTAAAACAAGTTTCACAAGCGTGAATGAATCAAGCGAAGTGTTTTGCAACTGGGACTTGTATGTATTTTCAATGTTGGATGATTTGGGTATGTGATTGTCGTTCCCATTCAGAGTATCTGGCACGTAGTTACAAGGGACTGCAACTGCGTACTTGATAATCTCCCAACTTGCACACGTCGCTCATGCAAATTGAGGTAAACTTGCGTAATTGTATCGCGTGGTCTTTTTTAAATAACTTGGACATTTTGTACTTATCACAGATTCACCTATAACCAATTTCTTCTATATGCTCATTTGGCAAGTATTTAGGTCTTCATATGCGTTTACTTTATTCCATATCGGTATTTTGAGTGATTGGCTGTTGTTTGACATCCCAGGTGTGGCCGCGCTTGATGTGCATGTTGACAAGGTGCCTACCTGTCTGTTACCCACTACCTCGTCCATGTGGCTCTAGGAGACAGTTGGTCGTTGCTGGAGGGGACGGGGTGCACGGTTCTTGTGGTCGTGCTAGGCTCGAAGAGTGGTTCCATGCAGTCAGTGTGGAGCGGACTACGATCCAGCCACCGCCTTGTGTGCGCTTGATTCCCCAAATACAGCGTGCTTGTGTTTGCCTGTGAAGGAGTGTGGCCGGCTTCGTTGATGAAACGTGGCTCCCATGCACATGCCTCCCGGTCTTATTCCTTCGGGTTTACACTGGATATGGGGTGTGTGGTTGGAGCTGTGGGTAGTGCAGCGCAGGCCATCCTTGGTACCTCTGTAGGCGCAGGCGTCCTGTGGCTGGCCACAGTGACAGGCAAATCCGAAACCGGATGCCGCCAACCATATATATATATATATATATATATATACGTTATACACAATCTGTGGTACAGAGATTGTGCCATCGTAATCATTGCTGAATAGGAAAACGGTATGAATAATAAGAAAAGAACAACAACAACAAAAGCTTTTTTGTCCAGTTTACTACTCAGTTTTTGAAATTTTTATCAGTTTGTTTTTTAGGAAGAGAAAGGAGGGACACCGCAACACGCCGATGCACACGTTCGCCGCTGACATCGATCTTGAGCCATAGCTTCCAAGGTCTTCAACCAGCAAGTATCCGCATCTCTCGGACCCCAACCAGGTAGTCAACAACAACCGGCTGAGGCGAACTGTTTCGTCAGCTTTTTCATGCGACTTCTCGAAGTTGCAGGCCGTCCACCAAACCGTCTCTTCCAGCCATGTTCAGCAACCGCAAACAACGCACGACGCGCGTAACGCTGGACAGGCATGCGCAATATTTCTCCTAACCGCCGAAGTTGATGCAGTGAGACGAGCTCCTCGAGCGAATGGCTTCACGTCCCAAGACACACTAACTTCCACATTGCTTACGTAGTGCTGCCACCACACACGGGCAATGGACCGCAGACAGCGATGCTCGAAGACGGATAGCCTGCGCAAGTCATCTTTACGAATGGGCCAGGTCTCGCATCCGTACAACAGTACAGCACGAACAGTTGCACAATAGACCCGCCCTTTGATGGAGAGACGAATGTCGTGGCGACGCCACAAGTGCCTCAGCCTAGAAAAAGCGAGGCGTGCTCTCGAGATGCGCATCGAAATCTCGTCTCCAACAGCCCCGCCAGCAGTGATGCAACTTCCCAAGTAGACAAAGCTCTCCACAACCTCTAGTGTCTCACCACCAAGAGTGAGTGCAGGCAGAGGCACCTGCCAGTCTTGGAAGAGAGCCTTGCATTTGGATGGCGAAAAGTACATACCATACTTTGATGCTTCAATCGCCAAGCGGTTTAGTGCAAGTTGGACGACGTGTGGATCGTCACCCAGCAAGACGATATCATCAGCATAATCCAAATCAACAACTCGACTACCTGGGAGGAGCTCAACGCCAGCGTTCAACGAATCGCCCAGAGCGTTCTTCAGGACATCCTCAATGGCAAAGTTGAATAGGAACGGAGAGATAGGGCATCCTTGTCGAACTCCACTGGAGACCACAAAGGAAGGCGAAAGCTTGCCATAAGCCCTAACCCTGCCAGAGGTCAGACTATAGAGAGCGCGCAGTATGGAGACGAACTTCTCGGGACACCATTCCTCAGTAGGCAGTGCCACAGTATCGTCCGATCGACAGAATCGAAGGCTGCACGGATATCCAAGAACACAGCAATCGTTGGCCTCTGATACACATGGCGGAGCTCGAGGATCTGGCGAAGTGCGAAGATTTGATCGATGCAGCTGCGACCAGGGAGAAACCCAGCTTGCTCTTCTCGCTGGAACGATTCGCGCGTTGGAGATAACATACGAAGTATGATGGACACTAGCAGCTTGCAAACGACGGGGACTAAGCTTATGCCTCTGTACTTGGAGCAGATTATGCGCAGTCCATTTTTGGAGATGGGGTCAACTATCGATTCACTCCAGTCAGATGGAACTTCCTCTTTCGACCAAACTTTCGAGAACAAACCAGTGAGTTCTCGAACGAGCGAAGCGCCTCCATTTTTAAATAGAGCTGGAGGAAGACCATCAGGGCCGAGGGCTTTAGAACGCTTCATGTGGTGGAGCTGCTGCTCGATTTCCTGGCAAGGGAGTGGATCTGTGGGTGTAGACTACTCGGCACCAGTGCGAGTTGCAGAGGAAGCAGATGAAGCTGGGGGCCAACGAAACTGCGAGCCAAAATGTTCGGTCCATCGCTGCAACCGTCGTTGAAGATTGGTGATTAAGGTGCCATCCTCTTCGCATATTGTTTCACTTATACCTGATCGAGCACCTTTCGCTGACTCAAATGAGATGGAAAAGTTTTCTGATATTACCAGAGAGACTAGAATGCTCCATCTCCCTAGCACCTTCACACCACCAAGCTTCGCTGTCCATTTGCGGATTGCGCAACTCTCGACCCAGGGATTGGCGTTCTTCACTGTGTCTGGAATCCGACGGGATCAAGCGGCGTTTGTCCATCAGCGACAAGGAGACGGCGGAAATCCAATGCTTCGGTGGGTGACGGGCAACTCCACAAGTGTCGATATTGGCGGAAACCAAGGCATCTTTTTGATATGCGCCCACTGCGATTCGAGGTCACCGCCAATAGTTGAGCCAAGCAAGGTTGACAGTGAGGCTTGGTAGCTGGTTAAAATCGCAGGGTTTTGTAGATTTGCGACGTCTGGTCGGTAGTGAGCGCGCTTGGGTGATCCTCCGAAACGCATGCAAATCTTAGCACGAACCAATGCGTGATCGGAGTCTAGATAAGTTGACCAGTACGATCGGCAGTCCGTTACGCTTCCGCGCCATCTGTAGCTGATTGCTATGTGGTCAAGCTGGGAGCACTCTTGCGTTTGTGAGGGCGGGCGCCAGGTAGCAGTGTGTCTCCTCGAGTGCCGAAAACTAGCTCGAAAGATACAAGCGATGATCAGAGCAAAGAGCAAGCAATCTGTCTCCATTGTCTGATCGACTGCCACCGAGACCAAAACTACCCCCAAGGTGGTGCTCTCTTGGTGGAAGGCGGCCCCCTCGTGCGTCAGAGTCCCCGGCGAGAATGACTATATCAGTCCTTTTGGAGGAACGCCGAAGTTCATCTAGCTGCTGGTAAAACATATCCTTGATTGCATCCGGGCTGCAGTCTGTAGGGGCGTAAGCGGAGACGACAAACAAGGCACGCTTAACGTCTCGACACCTGCTTACATTACATGAACCTCTTAATCGGACTGCGCATTGCCGACTGTTGACTGGGATCCAGTCAAGCAGAGCTGATTTAGCCCTGGCAGTCAGTGCAACCCCAACACCAGCTTGGCCAGAGGCGGCAGC